GAGAGATGAACCATGAGAGACTATGGACTCTGAGAAACAAACTGAGGGTTTTATTTATTTTTTTTAATTTTTTTTTTAAAGATTTTATTTATTTATTCATGAAAGACAGAGAGAGAGAGAGAGAGAGAGAGAGAGAGAGAGAGAGAGAGAGAGGCAGGCAGAGGGAGAAGCAGGCTCCCAAGGAGCAGGGAGCCCGACGCGGGACTCGATCCCAGGACCCCGGGATCATGACCTGAGCCGAAGGCAGACGCTTAACCATCTGAGCCACCCAGGCGCCCCCAAACTGAGGGTTTTAGAGGGAGGGGGCTGGGGGGCTGGGTTAGCCCGGTGATGGGTATTATGAAAGGCATAATACTGCATGGAGCACTGGGTGTTATATGAAAACAATGGATCATGGATCACTACATCAAAAACTAATGATGTATTTTATGGTGACTAACATAACATAATAAAATTAAATTAAATTAAAAAAAAGATAGAACATTTTAGAACCAAAAATGCAGAATGTCTATAATCTCAGAATAAAGAACAGTTCTTGCAACTGAGCAAATTTAGCTTTAGGTAAAAATCACTATATTTTTAGTCTTATATTTTGCAGCAAACTAGGGAAAGTAATATTGACTAGTCCTGGGCTACACACCCGTCTTTGGGCTTCAGAAATCACTCAAGCACCTCACTAGTGTCCATTCCTATATATGAAGCTCTGTATGAAAAGATTCTTTCAGAACAAAAATGTCCAACACACACAAAATTGTGAAGGGCTATGAAAAGTTTGACTTCTCTGAGGTTTGGTGTATTTTCTCTTCATGGAAAATGCAAATTATGTTAACTGATTAGGTTTCCCTTTTTGTTTTGGCTACCTGGTCACAGGTACAGCTCAATTTTAGAAATTGGGTAGGATCCTATGACCTATACATATGAATTCTAATTAACCTCCCTACCTGGTCTTCACCTTTGATATTCATTTATATTTTCCTAGATGCTGGTTTATTTTACTTGTAATTTTTCTCTTTTATTGTAACCTTACTTATAAGCTGCCTTAAAGTCTTTATGGAATGGGGTGATGTAATTCCACTCAACACTTAACCACTGTCCCCATACTGTATACTCTTGCATACTTTCCAGTCATCAATGCATTATTTCCTCTTCCTGGATCATTCTTAGCTCTTTCTTTCCCACCTGCCACATTCCTATATATCCCTGGACACTGAACTCAAATATTACCACTTCTGTGAACGTTCCCAGACCATGACCACCTACCTATCACTCTCTCTCATCCCAGTCTAGCTAAAACAGTACTTTTGTACATGTTTCTAACTAAGATATTTGTTACACTGTAGTGTTGTGATATTGACTGGCCTGCCTCTGTTACTGGACTTTGAGCTTGAAGGCAAGGATTGAGCCATGCCCATTTTGGATCCCCTGGACCCTAGTTCAATATATTTTTAATGAATGGATGGCTGAATAAAAGCACAAATGAGCAAAATAGATAGGAATCCTCTGAGTTGTCATTCAAGAGGCATTTCATACATGAGATGTATTAGGGAGAAAATACAGGGGTTCTAAAAGTACTGAAGCCAGTATGCGGGCAAGGATCTTATCTTTTTTTTTTTCTTTTTGACAAAGAGAGACACAGCATGAGAGGGAACACAAGCAGGGGGAGTGGGAGAGGGAGAAGCAGGCTCCTGGCTGAGCAGGGAGCCCGATGCAGGGCTCGATCCCAGGACCCTGGGACCATGACCTGAAGCCGAAGGCAGACGCTTAAGGACTGAGCCACCCAGGCACCCCATCTTATCTTTTTTTGTTCATTGTTTTATCTGCAGGGCTTCTCACAGTACCTTGCATATAGCAGACCTCAGTAAATATTTCTTGTATAAATGAATGTGCAAATGGTCTCACTTGGCCACTCTTTGTAATAGTTTCCATGGGGAGTCTTGAGAGTACCATCACTGGGTAAGCGTTAAGCTTGTTTTATGGAGGTACTAATTCTATTTGTTATAGTGTTTTATATATCATTGGCTTTCAGTGAAGTGTCCACCATGCTGGTGAACAGTGCTCTCCTTTCTCAGGATTTCAACCTTATCTGCCACTGAAGGCATATTCTTTTTGTGGAAGATATTAAATATAATGAAACCACAAGTCTGGCTCTCCTTGGGGAGCTTGTGGAGCAGTGGCCTGTCATGTGTCACACATCCTCATTCTTTCTTTCTGTTCCCATCAGAGTTGGCCTTCTGGATTCAGTGAGAACTGCCTTCTTCTTTTTTTTTTTTTTTTAAAGATTTTATTTGTTTGAGAGAGAGCGAGAAAGAGCAAGAGAGAGAGAGTGAGCATGAGTGGGGGTGGCAGAGAGAGAGGGAGAAGCAGACTCCCCGCTGAGCAGGGAGCCTGATGGGGGGCTTGATCCCAGGACCCAAGGGTCACAACCTGAGCCAAAGGCAGATGCTTAACTGACTGAACCACCCAGGCACCCTGAGAACTGCCTTCTTAAAAATGACAATGCCCGTGGATGGGCAGTGTCTTGCTCTGGGAATAAGGTCCATAAATCCATACTTTCCAACATCTCCTATTATGGAGGTGACATAGTCAATAAAGTGGAGACACCATAATGAGAGACACTTCTCCTTTGGGACTTCACAGGCTCCACATTTGAATGCTAAGGATATTTTAATTGAGGGGAAAATAAAGGAAGCAGCACACAGTATACAATGAGTACTCCTTAAGCGGTCCATCCTTGGATTCATCTGCAATGACGGGCTGAACGATGCTCCTTAAACAGAAAGTCTGACTCTTTTTGGTCCTTCTCTTCATGTGAAAACTAACATTAGTCTTATTTGACCAGCTTGGAAAAGCAAATACTCTTGCAGGAAAGACAACTGCCAGCCAGAGGGTATCTCCTAATCTGCCATCATTGTGGATTAACTTTATTGAATAGCAGCTGTACAAAACACCATGTTAGATGAAAAGGAGCTCCAAACCAAAATAATGTAATGTAATAATGGAAGGCAAGTCAGGCTGTCTAATCTCTCTAGACTGTAAGAGATTGTGACTCAGGACCACTCCATATGGAGCTATAAAATAATATATAATGTTTTAGTTTAAATTGTATTACAGTGAAATAATGAAGAAGAACTAAATTTAAAGACCTATTATACCCTTTAGAAATATCTGTAAGAAATATATTAACAATGATTTTAAAGTATTTTAATAGCCAACATGTTTGAGCACTAACAACATGCCAGGCATTGTTCTAAGCACAATTGTCACAAAACCCCTAAGGGTTACGTATTATTAGTCTGATTTTATGGATAAAGAAATTGAGTCTCCTAGAAGATATTTAACTACTCAAGATAAAGTAGTGAAAGAAACAGGCTTGGAAGTCAGGCTGATTGACTCCAGGGTCTGAGCACTTAACTATTATGCAATACTGGCTCCTGTCATAGCACCTGCTGATTCCAGCTTGGCCCCACTAGTCATTTGAAACCCAAGGAGATCTATGGTCCAATCATTCGGCCCTCAAAGGATCCTTGGTTGCTCATTTCAATCATGGTTGGTCTAATGGAGTAGGATGCAATCTAGTCAATGATAGTCCAGAGCATGAATTATAGTTTGGTGGGACAGTTCTTTGCCTCTGCCATGTATAGAATCCAAGCTCCTTCGCCCTCCACCCATTTCGAATTCACATATTTTTTTTCTTTACATTTGGCTACTTCTATGCTTGTTTCCTCGTTTCTATGTAACCAAATTTCTTAATTTATTATTAAGATTATTAAGCATCATTTCCTACCCTACCATGTCCCCATTATAACTTATAAGGATTCAAAATCTGAACTGGAATTATGAAATTATTTTTGGGGGAGTGGGGGTCACTAACTATATAAACAAATGGCACAACAAAGTGGCATCACTCTAGATCTATTTCTCAACTTTACTGTGTTTGTGAATGACCTGGGGATCATGTTTAAATGCAACTTCTGATTCAGTAGCTCTGGGCTGGGGCCTAAGATTCTGGGCTTCTTCTTCTTTTTTTTTTTAAAGACTTTGTTCATTTATTTGAGAGAGAGAGGGAGTGAGAGAGAGACCACAAGCAGGGGGAGAAGCAGAGGGTGAAGTAGGCTCCCTGCTGAGCAGGGAGCCCTACGTGAGACTCGATCCCAGGACCCTGAGATCACTACCTGAGCCGAAGGCAGACACTTAACTGACTGAGCCACCCAGGCGCCCAGATTCTGGGCTTCTTAACAACTCCCAGGTTATGCAGATTATACTTTGAGTAGCAAGGTACTTGATCAGCTTGGTTCTGTCATTCTTTTAAGTAGGACCACAATTAAATGAACCTGGGGAGATTAACGTTTAGGATATTTTAAAAGCACTGAGATGGCAATTCCCTAATGTCTTCACAAATCCATTTTAATGGTTAATAATAGTTCTGATAGCACAGAAGACTTTTTTGTGTTTAAACCAAATGCTTCAGATGCTGTGGCATTTTTCTTCTGATTTTATCCTTAGTGGAGATGGAATCAGTACACCATGTCCATTCTCTTAATGGTTACTATGTTTAAAAAAATATGAACAATTATTCAATGTGAACAACTTTGGGATGGTTCCCACCATCTCCTTTCCCCCACTTTAGGAATCCATGATTTTTGAGGTGTCTAAGTCCATTCTCATTTCTGCTCCATGTTTATCTGTCTCCTCTAAATCTATAAAATTAGATAAACTTTGTAATTCCTTTCCAAATCCTGTTGTCTTTTATTTAATTGAGCTATTTAAATATTTAATGACCATATCTTGCATCAGATATATCCCTACCTTGCCCATAGCACAATAGGGAGTATACTAGTAACTACTGGCCACCCAGCCTATAAAGCTCATATTACAAAAATGCACACTCTAGGCAGAATCTGGTAAATGTCAACTTCAAAATAAGTTGTGTCATACTGTTATATTTATTACCACATGGTCAATAAAAAGAAACACTCGTGACGTGATTAAAAATAGCATACCAGGTAAAATTGGTTGTCCAGCGATTCCCAGGGGTGCCATTCCAAGATTATTCATTGCTGTGGCCCATGCAGTTGGATCAGACATAGGTAGCGTCATTGCAGTGGAATCCACATTCAGAGTTCTACTATTATCAGCTAAAGAGAAATGACAAGCAAAATAATTTGTTGTATTAAGGTTTCAGTATATAGTTTGCTTAACATAAACTGGCAAACTCTTTACAGAAACGGACTGATGGACAAATGGTAGATAGGGCCTGAATTCCAGCTCTTTACAAGGGTTAAAACAATATGGCTTGAATTGGCAGGAAGTCATAGAATTTGAAAGCAGTTTACCAGATGGCATTTTAGTGTGTTTCTTTCTTTCTCTCTCTGCTCCCTCTGTTCCTTCCTTCCGTTTTTTTTTTTTAATGAAGACTTTATTTTTTTTAGAGCAATTTTAGGTTCACAGCAAAATTAAGGAGAAGGTACAGAGATTTCACATGTGCCCCCTGCCTCCACACATGCACAGCCCCCCATTATCAACATTCTGCACCAGAGCAGCACATTTGCTACAACTGATGGATCTACATTGATGCATCATAATCATTCAAAAGCCAGAGTTTACATTAGGGTTCACTCTTGGTGTTGTACATTCTATGGGTTTGGACAAATATATAATAACATGTATACATCATTCAGAATATTTTCACTGCCCTAAAAATCCTCTGTGCTTGTTTATTCATCCCTCCCTGCCCCCCAGCCCCTGCCCATTACTGATCTTATACCATCTCCATAGTTTCACCTTTTCTATAATGTCATATAATTGGAATCATACAACATGTAGCCTTTTCAGACTGGCTTCTCTCAGTAGTATGCATTTAATGTTCCTCCATGTCTTTTCATGGCTTGATAGCTCATTTCCTTTTAGTCCTGAATAATATTCCATCATATGGATGCACCACAGTTTATTTATCCATTTACCTACTGCAGGACATTGCACTTGTTTCCAAGTTTTGACAGTTATGAATAAAACTACTATAAACATCCATGTGCACGTTTTTGCATGGACATAAGTTTTCACCTCCTTTGGGTAAATGGCAAACAGCACAATCAGTGGACTGTACAGTAAGAACATGTTTAGTTTTATAAGAAACTGTCAGCCTGTCTTCTAAAGTGGCTGTACCATTTTGCATTCCCACCAGCAATAAATGAGATTTCCTGTTGCTCCATACCATCACCAGTATTTAGTGTTGTCAGTATTCTGGATTCCGGCCACTCTAATAGGTGTCTAGTGGTATTTGTTGTTTTACTTTGCATTTTCCTGATGATACATAATGTGGAGCATCTTTCCATATGCTTATTTACCATCTGTATATCTTCTTTAATGAGGTATCTATTAAAGTTTTTTGACCCATTTTTAAATTGGGTTGTTTTCTTATTGTGTTTTAAGAGTTCTTTGTATATTTTAGATAAAAGTCCTTTATCAGATGTGTATTTCGCAAATATTTTCTCCCAGTCTGTGGCTTGTATTCTCATTCTCTTTACATTGTCTTTTGCAGAATAGAAGATTTTAATTTTAATGAACTCCAGCTTATCAATAATTTCTGTCATGGATCATGCCTTTGGTGTTGTATTTAAAGTCATTGCCATATCCAAGGTCCTTTAGGTTTTCTCTTATGTTATCTTCTAGGAGTTTTATAGTTTTGCATTTCACATTTAGGTCTATGATCCATTTTGAGTTAATTTTTGTGATGTGTATAAAATCTGTCTAGATTTTTTTTTTTACATGTGGATTTCCAGTTGTTCTGGCACATTTGTTGAAGAGACCGTCTTTGCTCCATTGTATTGCATTTACTCCTCTGCCAAAGATCAGTTGACTCTATTTGTGTAGTCTATTTCTGGGTTCTCTATTCTACTCTACCCATCTACTTGTCTATTATTTCACCAATACCACACTGGCTTGATTGCTGTAGCTTTATAGTAAATCTTGAAGTTGGGTAGCATCAGCCTTCCAACTTTGTTCTTCTTCAGTATTTGTTGGGTATTCTGAGCCTTTTGCCTCTCCATGTAAATTTTAACACTGGTTTGTTGATATCCACAGAATAACTTGTTTGGATTTTGATGGGGATTGCATTAAATCAAGTTGAGAACTGACATCTTGGCAATATTGTGTCTTCCTATGCATGGACATGAAATATCTCTCCATTTAATTTAGTTCTTTGATTTCATTCATCAGAGTTTTATAGTTTTCTGGGTTTTTTTCCCAACTGTATATACCATAGGTGCTTGGGATGTTTCCTATTCTTCTCATAGTCTAGTTGCATACAATTACCTCAGCAGCTTCCATCCAAACTACCCATGCACGCAAACCAAGAAAAATCATCCAAGGGCTTTCACAGTAGCAATAAGAAATGAAAAATTATATTTTTGATGTAATTTCATATCTTTGAGGCAGTAACATTGAATAGAAATAGACACACAATCAACAGATATCAAATTAGCCAATTGAATATTTTGGAAATTAGGGAGACACCAGAGACTAAGCAGATAGAATACATAGTCCCTGCCTTCAAAGGTTATACAATCTAATTTAAGAGACCAGTGATGGTGGTACTGATTACTACTATTATCACTACTCTCACCGCCTCCATCCATTACTACCACTAATTATTGAACACTCACTATATGCTAGGTAAAGCACTTGGCATGCATTATTCTCATTTAACTTTCAAAACAATCTAATGAGAGGGACTATTTATATCTCCATTTAATAGATTAGAGGCTTTTACTTTATTTATTTTTAAAGATTTGTTTGTTTTAGAGAGAGAGAGTGTGTGCGCACACGTGAGAGTGGGGGAGGGGCAGAGGGAGAGAATCTTTTGGCAGACTCCCCACTGAGCGGGAGCCTGACTTGGGGCTGGATCCCATGACCCATGAGATCATGACCTGAACTGAAACCAAGAGTTGGATGTTTAACTCACTGAGCCACCCAGGCACCCCTAATAGATGAGAGACTTAAATATCACATATATTGTCCGAGGTCACCCAGGTTATATACTGTTAGCCACTATGCTTTATTATCTATAGTGAAACAATTAAGAAACAATCAAAGAAATAAATGGAATTGACCAGAAATGTTATTGAAGTTTAAGGAATGATGGGTGCCTGGGTGGCTCAGTCGTTAAGCATCTGCCTTCGGCTCAGGTCATGATCCCAGGGTCCTGGGATTGAGCCCCGCATCGGGCTCCCTGCTCTGTGAGGAGCCTGCTTCTCCCTCTCCCATTCCCGCTGTTTGTGTTCCCTCTCTTGTTGTGTGTCTCTCTGTCAAATAAATAAATAAAATCTTAAAAAAAAAAAAAAGGAATGAAAAGCTACTGTGGCTTGAGTAATGGAGAGGATAGGATTTGAACAAGTGGGCCAGATTTCTACAGAACATGTCTTGAGTGATGGGTAGTTATTAGATAAAGAAGAAAGAGGGGAAAAGACATTCCAGAAGCAGTGATGACATAAGCAGACAATGAAGTGGGTTGTATGTGCATGTATATACTGCATAGTTGGGAGATACATAATCTTAAGTCATTGGAGCACAGAAAGACTTATTTTGGGAAATTTCCCTCTGATTACTGATTTCCATAGAAAAATCTTTCCATGGCTTTTCTCCTACCTCTCATGTACACTCTTGCCAATTGCCTGAAGGCAACTCTGTTCTAATTGTAGCTTGCTATTTGTTAACATCTATCACATCCTTCTAACCTGGGAACATCAGGGATAATTCTTGGCCTGGTTATTTATAAAAGTGCTATTTTGGACACTAAATGGTCAGAATAAGAAAATGCAAATGTCCAAAAACCTTATTTCTGAAATATTAGTTTTTATCATTCTTCTATGCTGCCTATGTATCTTATCCAAAAACCACCCCCCCAACACACAGAGTGACTAATGGCCTTAAGCAATTGTTACTATAGTCAGAAGTCACATTTCAGAACTGGTGGTTTCTCCATGGGTAGAAACTCTAGCCCTTACACCCAGTTTTCGGTGCTCTCCCATGAAGGCATATTATGGCTAGAAATAGCCTCCTTGTAAATGTTACTAAGGAAACAAACATGGGGCATCAAATATCCTTCGGGTCAAGAGTTTGCATATTGATTATTTGGTTCATCTGAACTCCCAATCTCCAGTCCAGGTGAGACAAGTTTTAGGGAATGTTATAGCTGGAAGGGACCTGTTGAGATTACTGAATCTGTACCCTGATTTTCTCTCATGGCTGCAGAATGACTTCAAGAGGAAACATCTAGGTTTAGAAGGACTGGGCCCCCATGCCAAAAATAATTTCTTGCAACAGTTTGGCTACTTGTTGGCTCTGCAGTCCTGGGAAACATAAGAGATCAGGAATTATTCTTAATAAAGAATTCTGAGATCAAAAAATGAGAAGTTACAATGTATCAACCTAGCCAAATTCTGGACTAATTTTTGGGGAGGGGAGAGAATTATCTAAATTATCAGTTTCTTTTAAAGGACAGCACAGTATTACTATTTTCAAAATATATATTAATTCAAAGTGCCTGTTAAAATGTTAGCAAGTAGAGTTCCTGCTAGGCTTGTTTACATGAACCAGTTGGTTTAGATAAAGACCATGTGTAATTAACAGCATTATTTTGCTATGATAAATTCAGTTCTTAAATTCTAAAGGAGGTCTGCCTTTTCATTTCCCTCCACGCCCCCAACACCCATCTACACCTGTCAAATACTACTCATTTTTCAAGGGTCATCTCAAATGTTACGTTGTCTGTGAAGCTACCTCCCTGGAATGAATTACTCCCTCCTAGTGTGTTATCATAACATTTTATCTAGAATTTGATTTTTATATGTTTGCTTATTCTCTCACTTCTTTTCCCTAAACCAAACTTTTATTGAGTCTTACTATATGCCAGGTCATGTGTTAGTGACTAGGAATATGGAGATGAACAAAATTCATTTACTGCTCTGGAAGAACTCACAAAACAATAAGAGCACGACATATAAACAACTAAATATAAATTATTATAATAAGTACTGCAGTAAAACTATGAGGAAAGTGCTATGAGAACAGAGAAGGAATAATTAAATATGCTGGAATGGCTTTGGTTGTATGTTTGGAGCACAGAGAGCAAGAGGAA